TGCTAGAGTCTTTCAGTCTGAATCCCCGAGGCTGTCCAAGCAACAAACATCAACAGTCATGGCATCACCTGGACTGCGATTCAAGAGTGCTGATTGGTACCATGGCGATCCTCTGCCACACTTGGCTCAGAGCATCCACTCTCCCACAAGACACACAGGTTCACATCAAAGAGATGCCATTCAATGGCAAAGGCCTCTTTAATGCCTGAATGGATGAGAAATTGGACGATGTTCAAAAAACAAGGGCAACAGCACGCAAAATGGGCTTCACCCCAACTGGCCATGGGGTCCATCCTATTACCCTGGAAGGAGCCAGCCATATAATTCAGCTCACTTGAGGCAACCACCAACCCAGCAGCATCAGGATGCTCCTCCTCATATCCAGCGGTCCTCCAAAAAGCAGCTGGATGCTGAGAGACAGTGTCACTGACAGCCATCCGAAACCAGCCCCTCACCATCAGGAACAATATATATCGAAGACTGCTTAACAAAATACCTTCCCCAATTGGAAGATACAGCATCGGACAGATGGGTACTCTCCATCATTGAATTCAGATACCATCCATCATTCGAATCCCTTCCACCACTGCAAACAGTGAGGACTTCCCTCCCCCATCAGCCACCCAATAAGAGGAGGTAGGCTTCAAGCAAAGGAAATGATTCAATCTGTCCCAACTTCCAACCAGAGGAAATTTTACTCCTGGTATTTTACCGTCCCTAAAAAGGACAGTGGTCTATGTCCCATCTTAGACCTTAGAAGCATGAACTTTTTACATTCCACATAAGAAGTTCCTCATAATTTCTCTACAAACTATACTAACCTTACAAAGAAAAGGGGACTGGTTCACCTTGATAGACTTAAAAGATGCATATTTTCACATCTCTGTCCACCCAGACTATATACACTTTTTTTGTTTCCATGTTGGGATGGAAAGTTATTCATGCTGCCTTCTGGATTAGCCACCACTACAAGAATGTTCACAAAATGTATGGCCATAATTTGTGCACATCTTCAGGTTTGAGAGGTTAAGATATACTCCTACCTGGACAATTGGCTATTGACTGCCTCATCCAAATTGGACTTAAGGGGCTCAATTCACATCACTTGTTCTCTGCTACAAGAGCTGGGTCTCTGTGTTAATAATGAAAAAATCTGTACTTTCTCTATCCCAGTCTGTCCACTATATTGGTATGAAATTGTGTTCAGTGGCTTCCTGGACGTACCTTTCAGGGGACAGAGCTATGACTTTGCAAGGGCTGACCATAAACCTCCAAACAGAGACCAGTTCTACAGCACTACAGATATAATGCCTCTTGGGGCTTATGGTGGCTACCCTTTCAGTTGTGCACCATGCTCACTTCCATATGTGACCAATATGTTTTTACAGGCATATTGATCCAACAGAGACTCCAAATGGAAGTGCTTGACACTCCCACACTTGGTACAATCCAGTCTTTCCAGGTGGACTATGCTGCACCTTTAGGGTGGTGTCTCCTTCAACCCCCAAGACACCACATCTGACTGTAACAACGGACACTTCCCCATGGGGATGGGGAGCTCATCGTGCTGGCAAAGAAGCTCACAAGTCTGAGACAGTTGAGAGCGTACCGGGCACATCAACTTCCTGGAGCTCCTTGCAGTGCAAGAAACACTACTATCCTTCCAACAGCTGATCAACAACCACTACAATCAGATCACTTCCAACAATACCACGGTGGTGTATTATTATTATTTAACAGGGTAAAACTCACTCCATTCCACTGATACAACTGACTATACAGATATGGGACTTGTGCTTAGAATACAATATAACCCTCATAGCAGTCCATCTGGTGGGGATCTACAATGAAATAACCAACAGAGAAAGCAGAATGATGAACCCAACACACAAGGGGGAATTACATCCTCTGATCCTGAACCAGCTATTCACAGCATGGGGGACCTCATCTGTGGATTTGTTTGCAGCACCAGCCAATGCAGTATGCAACCACTTCTGCTCCTGAGCAGGGGCAGGCATGGGATTCCTCAGCAATGTATTTCTCACATGGTGGGATGGGACTCTGTTCTACATGTTCTCACTGATAACGAAAGTAGTGGCCAAGATCTGGAGAGACCATACGGATTGTATCCTAGTGGCACTATGATGACCTCAACAGGCTTGGTTCATGGACGTCCTCCTCATGTCCAACGAAAACTACAAAAAGTTTCTGTTGAGAACAGACATAATATCTTGGGATGGAGGGCAAGTCTTCCACCCTGACATAGAAACCTTGTGACTAACGGCTTGGAGGATCATCAGGTATGTGCAAGAGTCCCTATTCATTCAGTAATACAGCAAATCCTTGACACTGTGCTCAAACCAAACACCAGGTGCTTGTACGAGGCAAAATGGAGGAGATTTGAGCAATTCTTGAAACAACATGGGTTCGACTCTTAACATATCCTCCATCCACCAGGTTCTCACCTTTCTGCATTACCCCCACGTCAAAAGCTTAACACCATCTTT